TGAAGCATATAGACAACGTTGTCCAGATAGCTCATTAAAAACCCGACCATGACCAAATAGATTTGTCACTAGTGGGCCAGAGTCATTTAAAGAAAATACATTTGTGTATTTGGACTCAATACTACTATTCATATTCTGAACAAACAGTACTTTTCTATGTGTGTATGTGTATGGTGTGAGTACAGGCATATTAGGGTGGGTAAAGTTCAGGGAAGGGTAAATCACTGCAAATCATACATCACTACCAATGATCAAATCAACAGGCATGCCACACGAACTGTAACAGCCTAACCTTCTATACTGAGCATGATATATCCAATGAGCCATCCTCAGTTACCATAAGAGCCTACCCAACTACTCCACAGTAGAGGCATCTGTAAGAGTTGCAGCTCAGTTCACCTGCTGTGGTGGAAGACTTAGTGGGAGTCAGCCAGAGCTGAGTTCAACATGAAACTGAGAGTTGGGTAACTAGAGATGTTTATAAGAAGGCCCTATGTTTCACACTGAAAAGGCTTAGACAGGAGGGATTTTTCACAATACTGGATGTTTCCACTGTAGGAAGAGGGACCAAAAATAGAGAAAATCTTGTTAAATTAAACATGGCTGCTATGCTGCTTCATGGAACATATCTGCTTACCAATGATATAGCAACAGACACAACTGTTATAGTTATTAACAGTTAGACAAAGTTAATACAATTATAAAAAGCTAATAAAATTGCAAAGATATTCACCAGGGCTCATTACAGCAAGCTATAGTATTTGTTTATATGTTTGAGTCTAGATTTTAGTAAATAGACTAATATAACTGAAAACCACCAGAGGGAAGTAAGCACTATGACACATAATTGACCTACATCTACCTAGAAGAACCACAAGCTTAATACAAATCAGAATGCTGTGCATAGAGAGTAGATACCATAGAATTCTTAACAAAATCAAGGAAATTCTGTGACCTAACCATTGTACATCTTCAGACAGCTCGGGTTCCCCCTTAAACATTTTGTGGAGCTGCAGCAACACCCACCAAGATGGCTTGTGCATAGCAGAAGCCTTATATAGGTTTAATCCATAATAACCTCAAATATAATCATTTAATATATTATCTTTTAGAGCAGTTAGAGATCAGAGAAACACTGAGCAGAGATGCATCCCTAGTTCCTATTTATGCAGAACATTTCCCACCTATCAATGTCTCTTCCCAAAGTAGCACATTATCTTCACCAGCATGGAAGGTTCAAGTGTGGTGGTGTATATCCTATGGGTTTGCAAAGTTGATAATTACCTATAGTTGATTTTTTTGTTTTACTGTTTGCTGATCCACCCAGCTCCCAAATAAATACACTGAATCTTATTCCTTCTTACCAATTCTCCGTCTAACTTTGCTTGTTTCTAGCCAGCTATCTTTTGCCCCTGGGCTTTTATCTTTCTCTATTTCTTCATACCTTTGTTTACTTCTTACTCTGTGGCTTGCAGTGATCTTGATGTCCTCTATTCCTTTTTTATCCTTCCTTGATCTTCTCTTCCCAGATTCATATGAGACCATAAAAGTAACCACAACCATCTTTAGCAAAAGGAATAAAAACAGGTATTTTGCTACTTGGGAGGTTTGAAAATGTAGAACTATACTCCTCATAACAGAAAGCCAGTGAAGCAGACCAGAGCACCCAGCAACAAACCTGTCTATTTCAGCAAAGATGCCAGGTGTGATGGGGAAAGGATAGTCTCTTGAATAAATGGTGCTGTCAAACTGTGTAGCCCCTTAAGATAATGAAATTAGACCTCCACCTAGCACGATATACAGAATCAACTCAAAGTGAATTATAGACTTAAATGCTAGATCTAGAATAAGACAGATAAGAAAGCCTGTGACCTTAATGAAAGCATAGTTTACAAATATGAAAAGGATGGGATTACATCAAGTTGAAATCTTCTGTGCAGTAAATTAAGCAGTCATCAGAGTGATTATGTAACTACCAAAGGGAAAAATACTTGCAAGCTGCATCTGTTAGCTTTCCATTGCTGTAACAGAATACCCGACAGCAGTGAATATTGAGGACAGGTTTGTTTTGGAGCAAAGTGGCTGCATTGCTCTTTAACCTTTGGTCAGGTGGTGTACGGAGTGTAGATTGTTTGATGGACTGGAACAACTTATGTCATGATACCCGGGAAGTGAGACAGACAGGAAGAGGTTGTGGTTCTACTATGACCTTCACAGTGACACCCTGAATGAACCTACTTCCACGAAGCCCTGCATAGTGAACATTCTGTGTTCTCTTAATAATGAATGCTGCAGCTTGAGGAACTGAGCCTTGGCAGGACATTGCAGACTCTAACTATAGCACCACACATCTTAAATATATCTTCTTCTTCTTCTTCTTCTTCTTCTTCTTCTTCTTCTTCTTCTTCTTCTTCTTCTTCTTCTTCTTCTTCTTCTCTCCTCCTCCTCCTCCTCCTCCTCCCAGTTGATCATAGTGAATGATCTTTTTTATGTGATGAATTTGTTGAGGTTTTCACATCCATGTTCAGCATCCATATCAACCTATAATTTCCTGTTCTTGTATTGTCTTTGTAGCTTTACTACCAGGATAATGCTGGTAGCATTGCCAAATGGGTAACGAGTTTACTCTCAATTCTTTTGGAGTTTAGAAAGATTAGTGTAATCATTATTTTCTTGTTGCTAGGACCAAATATCTGACAGAAAGCAACCTAAGAGAGGAGAGGACATAGCCCATGTCTGCAGCATGGAAACAGAGGAAGTAGGACCACGCTGTAAACATTAGTATCCATCCCTAGTGACTCATTCCTCCAAAGCACTGCCGCTTAAGTTTCCCACAGCTGCCAGCTGGAAACCAAGTGTTCCAACCCAGCAGCCTATGGAAGACATTTCACTTTCAAACCACCCTATTTGATAAAATTCAGCAGTGAAACCATTAGGTCTCAGGATGTTTTCTTTATAGGAAACTTTACTACTTGTTCAGTCTTCATCCTCATTTTTAGGTACAGAAATTTTTATTTCTTCATGATTTGGTGTTGATTTATGTATATTTTAAGCTACTATCTACCTGTAGCATCTCTTCTAAGGGACTTCAATAACAGGAACATATCTGGGAACGAGGAAGCTAATAATTTGGGTGTCTGTTTTGTGAGTGGACTAGAATTTACCAAATTCAAGATGAAACTGCGACTGATTTATTTAAAAAAATATATGAAGCAAGCATCACTATAGCATGCTTACCAGTCACCCAGTGCTTCAGGGGTCATGAGTGCTCTACACCATGCCGTAATTGTACCCCACCCAGATAAGAAAGGGCCACCCCATAGTGACAGCCCTCATCACATCTGGCCAGCTTCTCTCATTGCCTGTCCTTTCCAGTGTTTAATCCTGAAGTTATTATCAGTTTCTGGGGGAAAATGTGCCAGCAGTAAAAGCCGCTAAGGCTGCTCTGACCTTGGTAGCATTAGACATCTTGTCTACTTCCCTTCAGCAACTGAACTACTGGTCTTCACCATGCTCTCTAACTCTACACAATCAAACTCTATCCCATGAGGGACCTGTATTCTTCCACCCTATGGTGAGCACTGACACACATACACACTCAAAAAAAAAAATGAAGCTAACACATGTAATATTTACCACGTACTTGTCACTATTAGCACTTTGGTTTTTATTTTATTTTATTTTATTAACCATATCTTGCAGACAAACCATGACACAGAAAGTTACATAGTACTAAAGAAGATAGGCCGGTAAGGACAATATTCGGAGAAGACATAGGACTGTTTGTGACAAAAATGTGAGGGCACCCAAGTAAAGCATTGTAAACAAACGCTTGGCAGGTTCACTGAATAGCTGGAGTTATAGAAGTGATCCTGATAGTTTTGGTCATAGGCATAAAAGTTAAAGCAGTGGGAGCTGACCTCTGTTGTGTCATTGATATAACTCCCAGGAGTCAGTGTGCAATAGCAGTGGGTCTCATCCATCGTGTCAACAGATACTGGAGTGACCTGTGTGAAGGGCACGATCTAAGCTCCACAATACGAGGCAAGCATTGAAATGCACTCAGTATTGCTGTGCCAGCATTCTATTCCTTTTTTGCTTTGGATTTCACTCTGGAAGACTTAATGCTTCAATATGTTTTAATAATATGACAAGTTCCTAACCTACAAATTAGTTGAATTCTAAAAGTTCTATGTAAGCAGCTTATTTAAATTCAACTCATTTTCCATAGAAATTGTGTTATAAATTATAGTTCAGTTTTCAGAATAATTCACAGATCTCACTTAATCTATAATGTATCTGAATTATTGCATATTAATAAAAGTGTATTGATTAGCAGTGAAACCAAGAGAGATGCAATAACTTCACTTTTTTAAATGAGAATAAAGAATATATATGATACATGTTTTTCCAAGTGGGCTTGACTCAGCCATAATAGTAAAAAGCAGAACAAAAAGAAAGCCCAACTTAAGCGGCCATTTTTCTGAGGACTAAGGAACTGGGTGCTGAGGTTTTTTATTTTTCCAGTCTTTCTATCAGCCAGTCAGTGCTATTGTCACAGAATGGTGCAAGGCCAAGGCAGGATTGGAAATAGGTGTGCCAAGTATTTTTTAAATGAATTTGGAAAACAGAGGTAGGAAAAGAGGGAGACAATGTGAGCCTGGTTATATGGACACTTTTTGTAGCATAGGAATGGCTATATTAGAATATATTCTTGAATCCATTTGAAAATTTGATCTTACTCTAAATACTATCCCTCATAATGAAGCGTTTTTTTTTAAAAACATGGTTTTCCTTAATTATAAGTGTGAAGATTTTTACAAGAATTAAGGTAGAAAAATAACACCTACCCGAACAATATATGTAATTGTCACTCTATAAACAGTGCTGCTCACCTCCAGACCAGCCAGGTAACAATGAGCAGTAACCCACAGTAACAGCATCGTCTGTTTGTTATGTCACTGAGCTACACTGTATTATATCCCTGTGGACCTCACAATCTTAGAAAAAGTAATGTTATGCCCAGGACACGGGGCCTCCGAAAATGACCACCACAGAACCAAGTGCCCATGCAAACACACCCACACCGGGCTTTAATAAGAACAGTCCAGCAGCACTGGCACCTAACCGGAGAGAGGAAAGCTCCGAACCAGCAGGGGAGTGGACTTACAAAGGGAAAAACACAGGCTAGGGGAGTGCAAGCCTGGGCATTTTCTGATTGGCTCAGTGGGGGATGCTTCCTGGGTCGATTGGCCCTGGGGTTAGGTAAGCACTTGGAAATTTCTTTTAGAGCATCTGGAGACCTGTTCGGGTATCTGGTGACCATGATAAAATGGATGTCTGTTTCCTCGGTGTCAGGTTAATTCTGCAGGATGTGGGGGCACTGGAGCAAGTTTTAGGTATTTGTGGTTTTCCCGGGAACTGGGTTCAGGGTCCAAGTCAGCAGTAGCTTAAGATGGTGTCCATCCTAAAATGGCATCAGTCTTGCCTGCTGGTGCCTGGCCGCTCATTAGCAGATATGGGAAAGTGCCTTACTTACTTACTACTGAACACAAAGAACACTTAGTCCATTGCTTGTGTCTTGGTAACCAACCCACTCTCCATCCGAAGGCAAACTTCATTCATGAATTCTGAAATCTCCATCCCAGTAACACCAGATCTTCCTCTTGTGACTTTAGTCTTTGTCTTCTTTCTGGTTTCTTAGGTTGGGTTCTGGTTTTGATTTTGGGTTTGTGTCTTTTTTTGTTTTTGTTTGTTTATTTACTTGTTTTGGGACAAGGTATCACTGTGTAGCCAAGGCTGGCCCTGTTCAGTTGATGACTGCCACATTCCATTAGATGATTATGTGGTCTTCCTTATCTCAGAATAGATCTCCATTTACTAATGATAAATATTGCTTGGTGGTTAGCTAAATTAAATAGATTAATGAAGGGTATTATTAATTTCATGGATTGATAAATTTAATTTTTAAAAATTAATATTAATGTACCAATAAACATACTCTATTTTCATTAAAATGTTTTTATGTAAAAACTGTCATCTCTCCTGTGAACTAGGAGCAGTTGCTGGCAGCACAGCCCTTGACTCTTTTATGGCCTGTGGCAAATGACCAAGTCCTCGATTTCTTTGAAAGTTTTTGAGTCTAGAAATCAATTTCTAAAAAATTGTTTTGAGTCTAAAAGTTACAGGATATCTATATTTACTATATTTCAAATCTGAAGCAAAATTTGGACTAGGCTTTACAGGTGTTGTAATTTTAAAATTCTCTACATTCTAGTAGCTGCTACTCTATTTTTAGGTTGAAAATAGTTTTTTTCATACAACATATTCTGATCACAGCTTCTCCTTAGTTCCCCAACCACACAAATCCATGCCCTTCTTTCTCTCTAGAAAACAGGCAAACAAAACAAAGCAGAATAAAAAAAGAAAAAGGGGAAGAAGCAGCAGCACAAGAAACACACATGCACAAGACAAGAGCCTCTAAAAACACAAAATTGGAAATCATAATATATAAGCAAAAGATTCATAAGACAAAAAAAAAAACCTCCCAAACAAAGCAAAATGAGACAAAAACACCACTGAGTTCATTATGCAGTGGCCTCTGCTGCTGGGCATGGGTCTACTATTCCCATCAGACTCCATTGGAGAAAATTAATTTCCCCTTTGACAGTGCAAATGGATTGGAGATAGCTACTTGGTTAAGGGTGGAGCTCTGGAATTTGTGTCCACCCTCCCATCTCAGAACTGAGTTCCTGTCTGGTTTGAACCTGTGTGGGTCCTATAAATGCTGCCACAGTCTCTGAGTTCACATGTGGGTCAGTCTTGGTGTGTCTGGAAGACAGTGTTTCCGTGGTGACATTCATCTCCTCTGGCTCATACAATGTTTCAGCTTCCTCTTCCCAGGGTTCTCTGAGACCTGAAGGGAGGGGTTTGATGGAGACATCTCGTTTAGGACTGAGTGTTTCAAAGTCTCACTGTGTTAGTACAGTCTCACTCTGTACACTGTTCAGTTGTCATTCTCTGTGCTTCTCTTTTTAATTAATTCCCATTCTCCTTTTACTTCTTTAAGCTTTGCAGGTGTTGTAAGTGTATATCTCTCCAAATTTAGTAATATTTAGTAGTATTTGCTACCATTTTCATTAATTCCAGCCATTTCTCATTCAACTGCTCTATTAATAATCCCGGGTGTTTAAGTTAGGTATTCAATGTGATAATCAAATACTTAATTATAATGACTTGTACTTCACTGTGACTATTTACTGAACTTTCAGATGGGGTTTTATTAGAATTTGCTTTCTTTAGCTACCTAGTTTTGTTCTAGAACAAAGCTTTTCTATCACAGTCACACATTTCCTCTTATTTTAAAAGTCTTTTTGTTTGGGCATGGTGGCTCAGTTTGTTTGATTTTGAAACTATAGATTAACCACAATATTTCTTCCTTACCTTTCCTCCTTCCAAACCACCCATATGCCCCTTCCCACTCTCCTCCAAATTCATAGCCTCTTTTTTCATAATTTATTATTGTATGCATATATGTATTTTGATATTCATATTCCCAAATATAACCTATTGCATCCATATAATATAAGCTACTTAAAAGATGTCTTCAGAACTCTAGAACTCTAAGACAGAGATGTGAGTGTGTGTGTGTGCGTGTGTGTGTGTGTGTGTGTGTTGTGCAGGTACTGAGGTTTGAACGGGCCACACACATTCTAGGCAGGTATTCTATGACTGTGCTTCATCCCCAGCTATTTTTAGAACTTTAAATTTTTGTCTGAATACAATGTTATTTTTAAATTAGGAAATATGCTGTACACTGATGCATGTTTTCTTAAATTGTGATATTCTTCATTTGCGGTTCCAGAGTTAAATTTTATTACACACTTGCTTATTCTTTCTCTCTTTACATACTTTTTTAGGCCCTCCAGCTTTTGCAGTCCAAAAGATTAAGCCATGTGCTTTGTGGTACAATTGCTTTTTTTTTCCTACCATTCCTTGTGAAGACCCATATCTATAGGAAGCCTAATACTGTTTTACCTGATCTCTGAACTCACTGGTGGTCTTAGGAATTCAGAGAGCGTATCTACAAGGCCTCTTTAGTTGCTTTTTAAAATTTCTTACCTGCTGATACCCACACAGCTAGTCTTCCAAGCTCACATAAATATGGGTAGGCTATGCCAAATTATAGAATCATGAAATTTCCAAGCAGGAATGTTTCATATAATCACTACAGAAAAATAATACCTTATGATAGTTCTTAGTAAATGTTAGTTTTCAACTGGATATTTGTAATGATTCCACATACAAAAATGCTTCCATTAAAATGTGTGCTATTTTCTTTACCAGATGTGTCTTGGGTAAGTTAATCACTCATCCTCTTTCTCTCATCTGTAAAAGGTTATTTTAAAGATGAGATGTAATATATGAAAGACATTTAAACATTGCCTGGTCCATGGCTGTGTCCTAATAAATAAATGCTGCATCTGAGGAACTTCAGTCAAATTCTAATGTAAGTCATGTGTAAAATGGCTTTCAGTCTAAGTTCCAATTTTGGTTCTTATAATTGAGATTCATTTTACATACAATGTTTCAGAGTATCAAAATTTAGTACTTCAAATCTAATGTCCATAGTTGAGGTTCTTGACTTTTCAGTAGGCTTGACTTTCATACATTATACATTGGTGCTTCTAAGTCTGCTTTTATATGCAGAGTTGAATCTTTTATAGCTAAAATTATCAGCTGGCTGCACTGTTTGCTGCCCCTGTGATAAAAGGCCAAAAGTCAGTGAGACTTTCAAGATCTTATCCTGGCTTTCTATCTATTTTGTGACCATTTCTCCAAGCCAGAAACTCCTATCGAACATCAAAAGCCTGAAGCTTGCTTATTTACAAGGGACAGCCAGGCCAACCTCCCTTTGCAACCCAGCTTTGCCTGCAGCTACACTCAGCTTTCATGCTGTTGGCTGTTTGGGGAGTACTGGGCTGAATGTAGACAGGTAAAAACCCTCACCATGCTTGTATCTCTATCATGCTGTCCATCTTTCTCCCCCCCGCCCAGTGCCCCCCCACCCCATCCCCATCCGAGAGCCACGGTCTCACACTGTAGTTCAGGATAACTACAGTAAGTTTTAGGAGCCTACCATGTAGCCAGAAAGAGAAATGTAGGGGTTAGTTTTGTTGTTGTTGAGTTTGACACAAACTAGAGTTTTCTGTGAAGAGTCAGTCTCAACTGAGAAAATGTCTCAGATTGACCTATAAGCAAGTCTGTGGAACATTTTCTTGATTAATGATTGATATGGGAGGACCCAGCTTACTCTGGGTGGTTCTACCCCTGGGCAGGTTCTCCTGGGTTGTATCAGAAAGACTGAGCAAGCCACGGGAGCAAGCCAGCTAGCAGCATTCCTCCATGGTCTCTGCTTCAGTTCCTGTCCTGACTTCCCTTCCTGATGGACTATAAGCTGTAAAATGAAATAAACCGCTTCATCTCCAAATCGCTTTTCGTCTTCATCACAGAAATATCTCGGGAGTTCTGAAGCTCTGAAATTTAAAGATTAAAGACTATGCCAATGTCTGCCATGGCCTGTGAGGATGCATAAAGAAAGAGGTGGTCTAGGGAAAGATGCAGGAGTCTGCCCTCATTCCCTAGGGCCACTGGTGTCTCTTGCCACAGGGATCTATCTGTCAGTAGTCTTGCTCACCTGCAGAGTAACTAAGACTGCATGAAGTAGGATGTGTTGTAGCAAAGCTGGCAACTCTTCATCATAGATTCATTGTAGAAAACTGTGGTTTCATTGTGGCAGGTTGATAAAGATGTGTGATACACTTAAACTGAAGTCATTCCCTGTGGTACTCTCTGCCCTGAACAAGTCCCTTTCCTCTTTCCAGATGTTCATCTACACTACTTTAAAATCTAGATTCTGTGTGTGCGTGTGTGTGTGTGTGTGTGTGTGTGTGTGCGTGTGTGTGAATGTATGTGTGTGTGTGAATGTCTGTGTGTGTGTGTGAATGTGTGTGTGTGAATGTCTGTGTGTGTGTGAATGTCTGTGTGTGTGTGAGAATGTATGTGTGTGTGTGAGAATGTATGTGTGTGCGCGTGTGTGTGAATGTATGTGTGTGTGTGTGAATGTGTGTGTGTGAATGTCTGTGTGTGTGCGTGTGTGTGTCTGTGTGTGTGCGCGCATGCAAGTCAAGTAAACTCAAGTGTGGGTGTTTTTCTTCTCCTGGCTCTTAGCTGTTCACTCTCTCAGGTGGCAAAACAGAGATCTG